AATTGATGGAAATGATAATTGGTTACGACTGTTGAGTTGGCTTCAATTATTATAAATGAGTTACCTGATTTATTTCTATTATTTGTTGTTACTAATATTGCGTACAAGTTAATGTAAGTGACCCGCCTTAGCCTCGTCACTACTTCGTCGAGGTTAGGCTCAGCACTTACCAGTACATGGGGTCGATTGTACTGATACTACACTCTGCACTTCTTGTGCAGATTTCGGAGTTGGTCTCAGTGGCGTACCATAGACTTGCTTGGATTTCAGCTACTCGGAGGAGACTTGAGGTATAACTGCACAGCGTCCGCAGTACTGAAGTCCCTGCCTATTTTACTTTAGCTGTTTGTTTGTTTCCAGACAGCTTTATTTTTATTCAGACTTTTGTTTGTATTTATTCTAGAAGCTCGTGCACTTGTGACTCCAATTTTGGGATGATATTTAGACACCGTTGTTTTTATGAATTATTCACTATATTTCATAATTTACTTCCGCAATTGTTTTTTGTTATTGATAAATTTAAAAATTATTTTTAAAAAAATGGATAATATTATTCTAACGTTGGCTTGCCTAGCAAGTGAAATGTTAGGCGCTATTACGGTCCGAAGGTGAAAATTTCGGGAAGTGACAGTTTTGCTTTTTTCGGAAAGTTTGCTCTTTTTATACATCCTACAGAGTTTAATTTCTTAGAGTGACTTGTTTATTGAAATCTATGGTCATCCTGTTTCTAATTCTGTTTTTTATGCCTCACTGTCTTGCTTTTTACTTGCAGTGGCCCATTAGTTGGTGCTACAAATGATTCTTCCAGATTGTGTTCTTTACGAGACCAGTGCTGGGAAACAGGTCCGTAGAGCTGTATTTATTTATCTGGAGCCTACCTTTGTGGATAAAGTGAGGACTAGGGCTTAAAAGAAACTTTTCCATCCTAAACGATAGATTTCTCGCAATGAGATGCTACTAACAATGTAGCCCGGGGGCATTATACAGGTACCATTCTCATCCTCTCAAATCAAGTTAATCATTTTCTTCAGCAGGATGTTGCACCTTGACTGGGTTCTTTAACTAATACTTGGAGAAAATTTAACCTTGTTTAGTAACTGTGTTGTTGAAACTCCAGCATTCCCTTTTCTTGATTGGTTGTTGCTTTTGTCTTATTTTAAGTTTCTATTGATTCTTGGTACACGCAACATCAGAGTTAATAAGAACCGCTATGGAGCCGGTTCTTGAGCAATATAAATAGATCATTTGTCTTGGCTGCTCTAATTTCAAACCTCACATTGACCTTTATGCTATAAGAGCTATTGTCAAGCTTTATTTGTTTGATTCTAATTCTTGTTAGAAAGCCAATTGAGGTTAACTTATATTTTGACAGTATATGGATAGAATATATGCTGCCAGACAACTGAGTTTTGTGAATTTTAACAATGTTATTATCTGGTTCTTGCTATGAGTATCTGTCTTGTTTATCAGTAAGTTTGTAGTGATTCGAAACACTAGAGTAATGATATTAATAATGTTTTGCTTTCTTTTTTCGAAAAGTTTGCTCTTTTTATACATCCTACAGAGTTTAATTTCTTAGAGTGACTTGTTTATTGAAATCTATGGTCATCCTGCTTCACTGTCTCTCTGTCTTGCTTTTTACTTGCAGTGATCCATTAGTTGCTGCCAGACAACTGAGTTTTGTGATGATATACGAGGAAATAAATATGTAATTAAGTTCTTATTCATGTGAATATCTAATAACTTCAGTATAATATGTAAGAAGAATTTCTAGCTTGTCTCGTTTTTATGTAGCTAAAATTTTGCTTTTCTTTGTAACTAAATTTGAGCATTTTGGACATGTTTGTCTTTCTTTGATAGGCATATTATCAGAGAAATGCTAGTGGTTTTTAAGTTTCTTATAAAATATTTTTATTTCATTATTTCAGCCAATGGTGAATCTACTTGTGGACTAAGGGATCATCTGGTGGCAGCAGTGTGAATCACCAAGCAAATATATAGTATCTTTCTATATTTATAATATAAATTGTAGAACCACTTTAGAAATTGGTAATGTTTAAGCTACCACGCTGGTTAGTGAAATCGAGTTGCCATTGCGTGAGTTAGTATTAAATTAGTTTGATAAGAATTTAATTTCTGATGCTTGTTACTGTGGCTATTTGTAATGGAATTTGATTTATGTTATAGGTTATTCAATAAAACTGTTTATCTAATGCTACCGATAAAATTTTACAATAGAAAATAAAATTTCGTCAAGCATAACTATTGTGGCAAGTATAAACTGCCACTAACTAATTTTTTTTAAATTTGAGATCATATTTTGGGGGTTATAAGCCCCCACAAATATATTTTTTTAAAACATTGAGATCATCTTGAGGGGGTTATAAATTGCCACTAATTGTTTTTTAAAATCGTTACAAATTAAGAATTTATTTTGTGAGGGTTGTCGTGGAGGTTTTAAAAAATCGTCACAATATTGCTCGTGACAATCATAACTGTAGCATTTTTTTAAACCTACACAATTTATTTTGTGGGGTCAAAAACCGCCACAAATTAGTAAAATAACCTCCACAATCGTAACTGTGGCATTTTCTTGTAGTGATCTACCACGTAATTGAATTTGCCCGTTGTAATTTGCTTTTTCACATACTGGCCGACATTGCACCTTGATTAGATGTTTACGGACACTAAGAAGATACATACTAGTAGATTAACCAGTTTAAGAGATGAACCAGAGGGGTTCAACAAACACTGACATTAAATTTGTGCATTTTACCTCTGTGTTAGTAACTCAGTACCTCATACATGCATAACATACGCATTTATAGACCCAAAAAAGGATAAAGAACGTACTACTAATGGAATAGGAGAATACATTCACAGTTTAAGGCAGTTGGTCTCATATATAATTTGATTGCTATATTTCCTTCCATTAATTATTTGTTAGTCACTAGAAGTTTAAGACAGTTGGTCTCATTATAATATTAAATATTATATCTACTTCAAAATTATGTGACATACAAAAATAAGAAAACGTTCTTTTGAACTTTGATTATTTTGAGTTGTGCATAAATATTATTATATGTGTACGTTTATAACTAAATCTTGTAATCTCTTCAGATTGTTAACATTCAATTATGGGAAAAAAATACTTTTGGATGACATAACGCTAAGTGGGACGAATATGCACACATTAAATTCATTGAATTGTGTGAGCAAGAAATTAGAAAAGGAAATAGGCCAAACACTTGTAGGGAAATGATACCGGAAAATAACGATAATAATACTGCAATGATATTATTTGTAAGCAAAAATACACGGATTGGCTTGAGTCGTGCTAGGCACTGTCCTAAGAAACTATTTCAGCAATGTGAAATATTTTTCCAAGATTAAACAAGCTCATCTCTATTTATTTACAGAATACGGGAATCAGCAAAATTAAATAATACACCATCAAATCTTAAGGAATAATTAGAATAGGAATTTCTTAAAGAAAAAATAAAGGTTTTCTCTATTTTTCAGTGGCTAGCTATTAAGGAATAATAGCTAATGATTAATGGAGATTACTAAAGCTTTGGTTGGAAAGCATACTGACCAAAACGTGTAAGAAGAAAATATTTCTGATGATCTTTTCAAGTATAATGTGAGCCTATATATAGGCTTTAAAGAGGGCTGGCAATAAGACAAGTGTACTGGACACTTATACACTTGTCCACACATATGCCACTTGTTATTTAGCATGACAATTAGTTAAGTTTCATTGAAGATATTGCCACATGGACATATGACTTCATGCAAGAAACCACATACTACTCCAAAATATTTTTTGAAATAAATTAATTTATCAACAATCCTCACATCAAAAGATATTTTAGGAATGTAGGAGTAATGAATAGGAAAGTAAGATTTGCTGGATTTGGATGGTCCAAATGTAATAGGTTTGATGTCTTCTAAACTATGAACCAAACTTAGATCAATAATATTTAACTCACAGAATTACTGGTGAAATATAATATTTCTATGAACCAATAATTCTTATTGTAAGTCAGAGATTTTATCAATCACATTTTGACCCCCAGTAATTTTGCTGTTCAATGCGGTTTTGTGCCCAATAGGTCATGCGCGTGCCTGGTTATTCATGAAAGCTCTAGAGACTAGGCCAAAATCTCATAGGAGCGGCCCACTCCACTCTCAAATAGTGGCAGTCAAGCACTCTCTTTTAGTGCATCAGTGCCAATATTGACTTGTTATTACCCATATGAACCTACTTCATGGGATCTCCAATCACATAGGTTGGGTTACCATCTCTATTAACAACATGTCGGCCTTAACTCCATCTCTTTGAGGTTTGAAGAATTAATTTTCTTCCCACAAGTTTAGTCAGAGGGTCGGCCAAATTTATCTCTGACTTCACATAGTCAATGGAAATTATTCCATCTCTCAACAGCTGTTTTATGACATCATGTCTCAATTTCATGTGTCTACTTTTACAATTATAAGATTTATTCTTTGCTATAGCTATTGCTGCTTGGCAATCACAATGTATAGACACAGGAGGCAATATGTCCTTTATTAAAGGGGTATTAGCTAAGACGTTTTAGCCACTCAGCCTCAGAACCAGCTAACTCTAGAGCTACAAACTCTGATTCCATAGTCGATTTAGCAATGATCGTATGTTTAGCTGATTTTCACGATATTGCACCACCACCAAGGGTGATGTAATAACTCGATCGGTCATTTTACTTTCTAGAACCCCATTTCCCTAAATAAGACTTTCCGTACTTGCTTTTACTGATTTATGACTTGTGGGGATGGTTGGATCGGGATTTAGAAGAGTTTGGGTTGAAATCGAAACACTTAGTTCCTTAAGGTTGGCTTGAAAGGCCAAGTTTGACTTTGGTCAACATTTTTAGTAAACGACCTCGTAATCGGGATTTAATGGTTCCAATAGGTTCGTATAATAATTTCGGACTTGAGCGTATGTTCGGATCCGATTTTGGGTGACCCGGGAGCATTTTGGCGCCTAATAGTGAAAGTTAGTTCTTGAAAGTTTTTGAACTTCTTTAAATTTGGTTTGGAGCGGGTTTTGATATTATCGAGGTCCAAACAGAAATCCGAGATTGGGCATAGTTCCATAATATTATTTAAGACTTGCACGCAAAGTTTGGTGTCATTCCGAGTAGTGTAAGCATGTTTCGGCGCATTAGAAGTAAATTGAAGAACTTGAAGTTCTTAAGTTTGATTTAATTGGTTTTAGGGTGTGATTCTTAGTTTTAATATTGTTTTGGGCATTCCTAGAGTTCGAGCGAGTCCGTTTTCTAATTTTAAACTTATTGGTATGTTCGGACGGGGCCCCGGGGGCCCCGAGTGTCAATCGGACGAGGCTCAGACCAAGTTGGAAATTAGAAGCCAAAGCTGAAGCTCCAGTTGCTGTCATAATCGCACCTGCGCTTGGTCAGCCGCAGGTGCGAGCTTGCAGGTGCGAGCCCATGATCGCAGATGCATTCCAGCTTAGGCTGCCCAGCCATCGCAGCAGCGGAAGAAGGACCGCACCTGCGAAAGCGCATGTGCGAAGGCAGGCATCGCAGGAGCGGGCTGTGTCGCAGATGCGCGTCGTTTGTCGCTGATGCGTGGCCGCAGGTGCGATCACCTGAGTGCAAAAGCGAGATGAGGTATCCTGGCTTTGGTCCGCACCTGCGCGAGTTGTCTGCAGAAGCGGAGCCGCAGGTGCGCCAATTTAACCACAAGTGCGGAAGTCGGTGAAGGGCAGTGTGTTTTAAATTGGACTTTGAGCACTTTGCTCACTTCTTACTCGTCTTGGGGGCGATTTTGGAGCTTGTTAGAGGGGGGATTTCCATCAACTAGTTTAGATAAGTAATTCCTATCAAATGTGAGTTAAATACATGATTTATGGGTAGGTTATAATATGTAAATTAGTGAAAATTACGGGTTTAGATGAAAACCTAGGTTTTTGATAAAAATGAGATTTAACCACGAAATTCGTTATGGAATTTAGTAAAAATCATATATTTATGTTCCTAAGGTTATGAATAATAACTTTCTTTAAAAGTTTTCGGAATCCGGGCACGTGGGCCTTGGGTGAATTTTTAGAATCTTACAATTTAGGTTAGGTAATCACTTAAATGGTGGAATTATGAACTTTTGAGCATAGATTGATTAGTTTATGTAATGTTTGACTAGCTTCGAGTCGTTGGGCATCAATTTTGGAGGTTTGAGCGCGTTCTTGAATTTGGAAGTAGGCTTTGAGATGAGGTAAGTCTCCTTTCTAACCTTGTAAGAGGGAAATTGCCCCATAGGTAAACTAAATGAATATGTGTTGTTGTTTGTGGGGGGCCACGTACGCACGGAGTGACGATAGTCCGTACGTAGCTACTATTACTATTATATCCGGGTAGTCTTAGGTTTACACCATGCCTTGTTGATATGATTATTGTTTTATGTACATTGTTTGCCTTGAGAAGGGCGGAATGGAGTGTGCTTTTAAATGTTTCAAAAAGGAATTTGGAATTTGAGGAAAAATAATGGGATCTTAAAAGTTTTCATTTGAATGTCCTATTTTGAAAAGAACAGGAGAGTACTATAAAATTTTATGAGATCTTTGTGTAACTGCGTCGCATGTATGATTCGCGAGCGGGGTAATTTCTTAAATTTATGTTTGACCGCGTCGCATGTATGATTCGCGAGCGGGGTAATTTCTTAAATTTATGTTTGACCGCGTCGCATGTATGATTCACGAGTGGGGAAAAAATAGATGCATCTATGGTTCATTCCATTCGACCCTCGATAGTGCACAGTTTAAATATTTTATTGGATCGGGCCGTACGACCTCGGCATATCTGCGCATGCTAATTATTTGGAAATTTTCCATTGTTTATTCTGCTTAAATGCCTTGAA